ATTGCATTATCATGTAATCTAGTTACATGGAAAGTTCTATTAAATTTTGACTTTTCAAAATGGAGCGAACCAACGAAGATGGTATTTGATCCAATGTTTATGTTCCCCAGTCCTATAATTTCCACCACTTTCTTTTTTTTTCATTTGTAAGTAAACTTTAAAAATAATAATAATGTAATAATAAAAACCTCATAGTGAATTGTTTTAATTACAGAATATCGATAATATGTCTGCTTTCTAGAACAACACTATCTCAAAATAATCGTCAACAATCTTCAAAATATACTAACAAACAGGCAATTTAAAGTAATCAAAGCAAAATTCAGCAAAACTTATCAATAAACTACTTAAAGGAGTCTAACTTCATCAGATATTTGGGCTATTGTATGATTTATAGGCAGAAAAATAACACCGACGCAAATAACGCCGGTGTAATGTAACATTCGGTTGATTTCCGTTTTTTCTACTGCTTTCTACCCCTTAATGCTGCATTTTTATCGCATTTTTATCAGTACTTAATTGTTTGTGTCAATATTTTTGTCCATTTCATTACAATTCATAGGAATAATTCACTAAAATATTTGGCCAAACACTGGTTTTGACATTTGATGTACTTCCCTTCAATCAATGTAGTGCTATCTCTTTTGGCTTACAACGGCACGCAGTAGTTAAACAAAGACAATAAAATGTTTATGTTTTCAACATCTAAATGCATCATATACGTAACGTCTGATCTATATAATGTCAATATAACATGTCCTTTGGTTTCCATAAGGTTTCCATAGTCTAAGGACCCTAAACATTCTCTATTTCTAATTTAACAGAACTGGACAAGTGTTATTTCGCCCCGTGATTCATTTCGTCCACTCATTGTAAAAATTTCATTATTTGTGAACATTAAATCAGATTATTAAATGTCATTGCAGAAGTTCATTAATAAGGAAGGATGTATCAAATTAGCTTATCACAGATTTTGGAATATACCCGATAAAATTGTAAATTGGCATGTAGATTGGATAATTATACATGCACGTTGCCCTTATAAAAATATAGATAGTGAAAAATACACAATTGAGGTTACCCACATTACGATTGGATCTATCCTATTACTGATGTCGTAGAACTAAAAGATGGACAGCAACGTCGCTCTTTGCTTTGATTTTTTTATGTGATGGCAGTGGTGAAGCCATCTGCCTAGCGTTCTGTTATGTTAAGTCCTGCATTTCTGGAGAAACTTATATATATACCAGTAGACCAAGGCAGATTTGGTACGGTGATGCACATTTCCTTTATTCTCGTAACAAATTTATCATCTGTCGCATGCAATAATCAACACGCAAACAACAGCGTGATCACTGGTATGTTTTGCGTACACACAATAAATACAAGCCACGTACTATATTATCTATTGTTAAATGTTGATATTTGAAAATGATATTGCTATAATAAGTTGCGGGGTGAATTTCCGATCAAAATTAGACGAGTGAATCTCGGTATTTTAAAATGTCTAAAAATAGACACTGTTTTTACTTTAGGTCCTTAAATTTTTTTAAAAACTTGATTTAAAATAGCAAAATCTATTTATTTAATCGTTTATTGTTTTAGAAAAAAATACACAAATCGCATTAAATATAAAGATAACACAAACAAAAGGTTCTGCTTATTTCTAAAAAAAATTCTTTGCTGCATATCTAAATACAGAACAGAATAATTAAAATAATGGGCTTACATGCACAACAAAACAAATATTATGTGATACAAAAACTTATAAATTATAACTATTTATAATTATTTCATTTTGAAAATAGTCAACGATTTGCTTTCATGGACAGTAATAGAAAGTGTGCTCCAAAGTCTGACTGCATGAATATGGAAGGAGTGATGATAGGAAAGGTAACTGGGACATAACGAGAAAGCAAAAGGCTTACCCTGAGAAACTGGAAGGATACCCGGAAGATACTGACTCATGTAAAATATTAAAAAGAATATTCATTGACAGTTGCGGAATAAACAAATTTTTTTTAATGATAACATTATCTTTGAAAAACACAAAGTTGCCTCAAACTTCGGACTCCCATAAGACCATCAGCGACGTGGTTAAACTATTCAGTATCTTTAAATGTCTGATAGTGAGACGTATTGAATGATACAGTTAGATATACAATAACAAATTCCCAAACGCTCAAAAAATACAAAAAAAACTGAATTTGGATTTATTGTGCAGATTCTTTACGTCCTAATTGTCAAATCAAAATATTTGTAACCTATGTAGGCGGGTCGCTTACTACCAGGCGCATGACTTGTTCATAGTATAGTAAGATAAGCAGGGTAACTTCATACAAAACGTAGCAGCGCCGCTTGTATGTGTGCACGCACGACGTGCGCCTTGTATAGACGCACACATTCGCATAATCTCGCGGTGCACTCACGTAACATAGCACGGATCGTCTCACATGCCATTTATTACAGAATTGAAAGGTTCACTCGGTGTTTAAAAAATTATATCAAATAGTAGACATGTTAATTGTTGTGTTTGTGGTGGTTTGAGCAAGAATGAATCAAATTCAGAATTGTTTGGCATTGCATTTCTATTTCATAGTCTTATTCCCATAATCGAGAAACCAGTCCTATGGTAGTATAAAAACATCAATACGTAGTACGGCATTTAACAAAGGTTATTTCAATATAGCTTATGAATATTGTGACGAATCTTCGTTTTTTTAAACTATGTTTTTGACCTGTAAATACAACAGACTACCAATAATGAAAATATCTAGAGTGACCTGAAACCTAAAACTTAACTGGTGTGACCTGTCATACAGTGGTAATGTCAAATCTCAACGGTACCCACATCTACGTTTACTAGTTATTCCTCGCTTAACTCTATTCCGGGGCAGCTTCCGATTCGCAGCGAGCAAGTACTGGAATAACTTGCCGCCTCCGGTAAAAAATGCCAAAGCGCTGTATTCTTTTTTAAAAAAATGTGTAAACAATGGCTCCTGTCTGTGCAAAAATCGAGTAGCAATTGGTCCGTGGTTATATCCCCTGCCAAAACTAAACAAATAAAGTTTACGTTTTTTTTTCACAATTTTAACATTTTTATACCTTTTACATATAGTGCAACACAAACAGTCTCTGTATAATTACTTGGTGTTTAATATACACTCCGCTTGCCGATCTAATGCCGCAATCGAATAGCTATAGGTGAAGACTGAAAATCAGCAAGGCTGAGTCTTCATCCTTTTCTCCACATTACTGATTTTACTTATCTGGTTTATGCGTTTTGTGGATAAATCCGAGCGAAGTATAGGCATTGATGTGCCGGAGTTGCCTTACTTGTCTTATTGTAATGAGACTTGCTCCTGACCCTTTACTTGATATAATTTTTTAAAAGTCAATATTATTCCTCGAACTGGCAATAATCATCAAATCCAAAACGTCAATCTATTTAAAAAGTGAATTGAATATTGATAAGTCAATTTTCTTTTCAGATTTTCAATCAATCAATGTTATCTCTATTCAGTTTGCTGTATGGAGATGCATTAGAAGCAATGGGACATAACACTCAAGGGGCAGCCCTAGTATTAAGTACAATGTTGTTTGTGACCAATTTTGGGGGTCCGATTGCAGGAGCTGTAGTTAAATTGACATCAACAAGATTTGTCGCATTTATTGGAGCCTGCTCATGTACTTTAGGAATATTTTTCAGTGGTTTCTCTACAAATATTTGGCACTTGGTGTTTACGTATGGAATATTATTAGGTAAGACGTTTCCATTTAGATAAGTCATTGTGTGTGTAGTAAATATAAACATTGTTTGGGTTTTATAGTGTGTAAACAAATTAATTAACAGTTTAACCAAAACTTACAACTTCTTTGAACAAATGAACCACATGTGTAAACAGATAAAAGATTAGATGATTCGGTTAAGGGAAAATGATTTTTGGACGGTTTACATCTTTGTTGCTACACTTGAATTTCTACGTTACGTACATTTCTAAATGTTTAGTAGCAATACCTCCCGCTGATAGTGAATGAACATCGCGATATAACCTGAATTTCGAAGAAGGCTCACAAACCTTGGAAAAGATGCGAAGTCCAAATCCCGTAAAGCCCAGCTGGGCGCATTATGGCCTAAACTATCTTCATAAAGGAGACCTGTGTTAAGTAATAGGACGAATAATATGTCGTTGATGATGATTTTTCGGATTATAATATAATGTTATAACAAATAACAGTAGACATAATGTGTATTTTTAGGGTCATCTCTACTGGTTTTATTTAGAACCCACATTTGTAAACGGAATATTTTTGAAACCTAAAGAATCCATAAAATGAATACCTAAATGCTTTATTATTTTTTACTTTTCAGGTTTAGGTCTAGGTTTCATTCAAAATGCATCATTCGTCGCTATAAATAGCTACTTTCATCTTCGAAAGAGCCGAGCGGTCGGCTTAGCTAACGCGGGCACAGGTGTGGGACAAACTGTAATGCCGCATTTAGTCCACTACCTACTGGTAAACTTTGGGTTTCGAGGAGCATGCTTGATGCTGTCTGCTTTAAGTTTACACGGGGTGAGTTATACAGAAGTTGAACAAATAAATATCTGTATGTTCATTGTTCCCTTAATCCTTTATTTTGATTAATCTTCTAATCCTCGAAAAGAAAAGCATACCTCAGCAAAGAATTTTTTTTATATCTTTCTCTGCGACTTCGCCTGCGTAAAATAAGTAGTTCGAGTAGCCTACTGTACTACTTACTTGTGAAATGATTGGCTCTTCATACAAACGTTAACCACTATTTCACCCCTTCAAGTTTTATTTTTGTCCTTCTCCTAGGTTCCATCTATCTCTATACCAAAATTCATCGAATTTGGTTCAGCAATTTAGGCGTGAAAACTTAACAAAGAGTTATTTTCGCATTTATAATATTATAATATAAAGTTTGGATGAATCTAGTAAAGAGATTTTAACATTTTACTAACAGTATATAGTATACAGGTTCCATGGTCACGGTTGACTTGGTTGGTCATGGTCAACCGTGACCATGGGACTTGTATAGGGCCCGAAACGTCGGTTTGTTTGAAAAAACAAATACACGCATTTAAATCCGGAAATAGTTTCATCTCCTAAGTGTAACAATCGCGAAAACCTAAGTACTCAATAGTATGGACATTTATGTCAGATATAAAGGTTTGAATTTGAATTTAGACCATGTAATAATATAAATACTTTAGTCAAATATAAGAAAAAAACATTTTCAGATCGCAGGCGTTTTGTTGATTCATCCAGTCGAATGGCATATGAAGGAGATAGAAGAGGAAGTAGTAGTCGATGAAAATTTACAATTATTAGAAAATAAACATAAAGACATTGTGATAAATAAAATATCTCATACCAATGGAGATGCTACTTACAAAAGAGGACGTCGTTCGACGGAACCTAGTATTACGAATAACAAAGAAAAGCCTCAGTTTACTAAGAAATCTCACAGTTTCAAAGACTTAATTGCTGAGAAACAAATGAAAGCAGTCGAAAATGGAGCTAGCGGTAAGTTAAAACTTATATATTCGTTTAGAAAGGATTACTTTAAGGAAAATGAAATAACGGAAATAACTTACATATTCATTTACATATGATTGATTATCAATATCTTTTATAAGACTGAAGAAGAAAAAAACTGTTTATTGTACAAGCTCAGACACGCATATAAACAGAAAATAAATAGAGAAATAATAAAAAAAATAAAATAAAAGAACATTAAAATATTTACGTGATTTATGCAGCAATTTACTCAGCTTATCACTGTTGTATTCATGTATTTTTTGTGAAATAACTCCACTACTTATTATAAAATAGAAAACCACAGTGAGATTCAGATATAGAACCAAGCTAACGGATACCTAATTCACGTATTTAAGTCGAATTTTTGCTCGGCATGTTTCGAACAAGTCTGAACTGACGTAACCGACTGAACAGTTTCCGTCGAGTCACTGCTGCGGAATCTCATGATTCAGGACCACGGACTGTCGGGTTAACACAATAGGGCGCGACTTAAAGCGCAAGGTATTGTTACTTTTGCATAGAAATCCCGCACTATATGTCGCTCTCGCGCAAATCGCGCTATCGTGCTAGCCCTACTGGTTCTGGTGGTGGTAAAAATTCGACTTGAATACGTGAGTTATCAGTTACTTTAGTTAATAACTCCAGTTGTTATAATTATTAATCCAAAGGTCGAATATAAAGAAAAATGCCTTCGATCTGCCTGGACGAGAATCTGCAACCACGCCAAACTTGGACGGCTGAGTGTGAAGCTTCATAAGTCTCACACAAGGTGTCGCTTACTGCTTTAAAAAAAAGGAAAAAAACGAATACAAAGATCTATTCGTACGAAGCGTTACACTTCCACATTTATATGGTGAACGGCTATGGCAGCAGTGTGCAGGCATTCCCTGCTTACCTATAGTTACCTGTAGGGCTAGCACACTAGGGCGCGACTAGCGCGAGAGCGACATAAAGTGCGAGATGCCGCTATTCTCGCAAAGAGGTCTCGCGCTTTATGTCGCTCTCGCGCGTGGCTTGTCGAGCTAGCTCTACTGAACGTTATAACTTGGACCTTTCCAAGGCGCGAGACTGAATAGGCATTATTTAGGTGTGGTTTAGCGTAATCAGTTCGAGTACTGGGATGTCGAAGGTATATCATTTATTTAAATAAATTCATAAAAGAGATTTAAGAATATCCGAACACATAAAAGAAAACATGGTTCGAAAACCGTACATTCGGCACAGAACATCGCCTTACACGGAGAATGCCTTTCATTCTCAAATAGTTTGAATTCACTAATAACCCTTGTTTCATTTGGGACGTGGCTTATTAGTGTGTTCTCAAGCTAATTACGAATGTATGTAACAAATGGAATAATCCAAATAACTGTCACTCTGAATTGATGAATGAGTAAAATCAATCAGACACACCAAGGTAATTTATATCACAATTAACATCTCGTCTGAGAGTAGCGGAATGTTCCTCATTATTAGTGTATTTGTTTACAATTTGTATACGAATTGCCAATAGCAATTGGTTTATTTGCCTTCAAATGAAAAACAAATGTTTTTCATTTGAAGATTTCAAGGTTTATTTTTATGGGGGTGTATTATAGATATGAATCTACACATACTATCATATTTAACGGAACAAAAAAAAGTGAAAATATATTAATTATAAAAAGTTTATATTTAAATTAATAAGAATTAGACATAAAGTAGCAATTGTTTTAACATCTTTTAGTACTGACTTGTACAGCTTTACTCAACCCTTATTGAAAGAAATTAAGCAACATACATTTTTTACATTTGTTACAAAGCAGAAACGATTGAAAGCTTAATAATTTTAACATTGATTAAATCCACGTCAAAAAAAGCTTTTTCAAGTAATAATGTTTTCAAGAACGAAAATTGACCCTCCAACTACTTCTAATGACATATACCCTGTATTAGTACAAAATATTCAACTTCAAAAAAACAAATTAACTGGCCAGTCTTTTGAAAAAACACTGCATTATTTTGGGGTTTTTACAAGTGTCATGCTAAATGTGCCGGTGCGTTTATAAAGGTTTGTTGGTTCTACACACATACATATATATAACAAGGTTATTTTGTAAACTACTAAAAAACTAACCTTGCAGGACTATATTACTACCATCATAAACAACTTTTGTTCCATGACTTTTTAAAAACATCAAATTTACCAAAAATAAACTTTATAGTTTTTGTTGTATTCTCTGACACTTAGAGTCTGTATTTGGTAGTATGATAGTAAGGTCAAACGTGCAAGCTTCCTTCCCGACGACTCCCACCCCGACTCTTGCGTTTTGCATCGGAGTGGTATTTACGCTACCGCTTTGTTTTGTTAACGCATAGTTATCACCATGTAGAGCGATCTATTTCAATATTTTATTAGATGAAATCTTTTTTTTAAAATACTCAGCTTTGCGAAATCCCTTGTACAATATAATATTACAAACAAAAACCTTCACCCATATAAAATTCTAACAAACGTAATATAAAATAATTAAGGACCATAATTAATTAAACACGGATATTCCAAAGTCATTGTGCGTTGTATTTTTCTAGGAATGAACAACAATGTTGAAGAACCCTTAATGAAGAAGACGCTGCTCAAGAAACTCTATGACTTGTTCGATGTGTCATTGTTGTCCAGCCCGAGATTTATTAATATTCTCATCGGAACTGCGTTATCTGTAACATCAATTCAAAATTTTAGTATGCTGTTCCCATTATTCCTTCAGGTAATCTCAGAATTATTATATATTTGTGATAATTATAGTAAACCACTCATAGAATTTCAATGAAATTATTGTACGAATTTCGAATGAAATTGTTATTGCCTTCGGATTACACGTGAACGTTTGATGCATTGGACTCGATCCATTACCAACTTGAATCAGTTGACTCCTTTCCAACATCGGACTTTTCGTGTTGTCGACGACTCCAAACTCACTGGCAGTTTGGAGTCCCTTAGTCTACGAAATTTAGTCTGTGCGTGTTCTATTTTCTGCACAACGGAAGCTCAGAGGAACTTCGAACCATGGTCGCGTTCCACCATGACACTTCCTGCCATCCTAAGACCACGCAGGCATCATACTCGTTCCGTCCTCAAACCTGTAAGATATGGAATGGTCTCTCTCCTGATTATTTCCTTTGCGGTAAGTCATGGGGTTCTTGAAAAGCGAATCAACAGGGCCATCAAAGACAGGCGACGCATAAGCAGCTAGGTGTTGCAGATCCATATGTGACAATGACCACCTTAAGTGGTTCATCTGCTCGTTCCCCTGCTACTTTTCATTAAAAAAGTAGTATCTAAATCTAGTATGAAGTTTATTTATCAATTCTGTTTTGGTATTTTTTCATATTACACCATTACAAATATTAAATTACGTCTCGCATTTGGAATCATTTTCTTTGTAATATTTACCTATTTAACATACGTGTTAGAAATAATTTCAGAAAAACAGTGTAGCATCCGGTGACGTAGTTTATGTAGATTACAATATCATTACTTCCATACACGTTTCTATGGAAAACGTACCTACTTGAAGATTAAATTGATATGAATTGATGGAATACAGATAGTCTCTCTTATCGAATAAGTAACTTTTTTGGGTCTAAATCGCGTGTTTATTTTTTCAAAACAAATTTATAGGTCCCTTGATCACGGCTAACTGACATAGTAGACTACCCAAAACATTCGTTTGTATAAAAAAAAACAAGTACATACGAAAAATAGTTTTATTTCCATTGTGTAGTATCGTGAAAACCTAAGAACTCGATGAATCTCTCTTGTCGTTGATCAAATTCTTAGAAATTCGAGACGTCAAGACTGTTATCTATAATCGCGAGGTTTTTTATCTTACCTTAAAACTTGTGACAATTTTCTGTTGTGTACACTAAAATTACTATCAAAGTAAAAAGATGAGTGGTTTTTAGAGTAGTTCAATCGGAAACGATGATAATCCACGATTAAGTTATTGTACTTGTGTTAATACGCAAGTACGACAACATCATAATTTCAGTTTTCTTTTACAGAAAGTAGCAAATATGGATAAACAGAAAACAGCAATGTGCATGTCGGCCATCGCAGGCGCAGATATTGCGGGACGTCTCATCTTGCCGATTTTCCAAGACAAGTACCGCATCAAAGCGCGATGGATGCTCATTATGACTTCCGTTTGGCTTATTATAGTTAGACAAAGTAAGTAGTACTCATAAGTTCTCATCTTGCGTCATTCCGTATATTATTTGTTAGGAAGTAGGTATGTACCTCGTGAACGCCACTTGATCCATCCGTAAATCCTTAACAACCAAAAATATAAAAAGCAAACTTCAAAGTTTGCTTTTTATATTACGTTGTAAACAATTTAAAATATTACAATAGATTTGTTTCTAAACGTATTTACCCAATGCCATTTACAATGTATACCTCCATTTCAATACTTGTACAAGTATACGGTTTATGCTATAAGCCATTCATAAACATTCTCAAGTTATTTTTAGGTTACGGACAGCATATCTTTCTACATAAGTTTTGTTTATAGTGACCCTCCCTATCAACCTTTTAGTTATGCGGGGGGGGCACTATAACCTGTGCAAGCAAGCCCACACAGGTATCTTATCAGTTAGGTCCTGACCTCAGATCAGCCCGTTGCACAGACTTCATCCGGTTCTCAAAAGGCTAGCGCCTTAGGTGAACTGCCCCGGGTACATGTACAGCGCCCTCCCTATTGTCCAGATAGGTAACGGAGCTGTTGGTACGCTCGCAATTGACATGCACTTAAGCTGAAAAGAGAAAGATTTGCAAAGAAGCTAAATAGATTTGTTTACGCTCTACGAAGACTAAGGCAAACTGTTTCACGAGAAGCTGCGTTGACGGCGTATCACGGCTACGTTTCGTCCGTGCTCAGCTACGGTCTTTTTTTACTGTGGGGCAATTCATAGAAATATAGAAGTATAGTCATAGTCATAGAAAGTGCGTTTAAGATTCAGAAGAAATGTGTTCGGGCGATCTGCGGTGCGTGGTTCGACAACAGCTGTAAACTGTTGTTCAAAAAATTAAACATACTGCCTTTGCCATGCATGTACATTAGGGATATCTGAGTATTTGTCAAAACTTATCTTGAATATTTCAAAACACATGGTGAAATTAATCAAAGGCAGAATAGAGCAAAAATTATGAATCTTTTGTACCAACCTCGTTGCCATAAAGTAATTTATATGAACTGAAAAAAGAAACAGAACAAAGAAAAGAAAAAAAGAAGAAAGAAAACTTCAAGATGTGTATAATAATTTTCAACAATTTACCAAATAAAGTGAAATTATTACAAGTATATACTTTTAAATTTCAATTTACTAAATGGCTTTTGACACATTGCTTCTATAATAATGAAGAATACTTAGAATTTTCAAATACAAATTTACATTAATTTGTAGTGCAATTAACAGTATATAACCGAACATGAAATTAATATTTGTACATCTGCTTCCAGGTTGAATACAACGTACCTAATTTTACTTAGACCTTTATCATTACTATATTCTGGCAAATTAACGTATTCTATTATATTCTATTCACTATGCACAACTAACGGTTGCTAAAGTCTACTACCAAATCTCTTCTTCAGTGGCGGAGCCGTGACACGCTCTCCTCCCGATGCCGAAGCATCTGTCCAGTACCCTGAAACCTATAGGATATCTAGCTCATCATCACGTGACTCGCGCGTGTCTGCGCCTTAGGTCCTCGTCTAGACCGCTACTAAGACGCGCTAACTGCACGCGGGATGAACGCCCCAGCCACATGTTACTGGGGCAGACAGACGTGTCCATCCCTACAGCTAACCACAAACCTCGGCGAGTCCATACCCATGTCCGGGAAGGCCAGAGGCACCCGTGAAGGCGTATCACTCGAGGATGGATGAGTAGGCTTGTGCCGTATATTCATTTAGTAACAAATGCCCCGCTACAAATTCAACTGAATGACATGTATAGTATACATGACTGGTATAGTCGCGCTACATCGCTCTGTCTGACAATATCAAACATTGGGAAAAGTAATATAATATTTCCAGTGACGTCATGTGACGTCACCAGACGGCACAGACGACACGTGTTGCGGGACTTTGTTCCTCATAATATTCACGTGGCTCAGTTGTAACATTAACACGTAAATGACCAATTGTAACATAGTAAATGACATAATAATGAGAAACAATTTGTCGCGGACGAATGAATAGGCTACTTTTCACTTAAAAGGACTTTTGTTTGTCTTTAATGTCAATTATCTATCTTATAACAATGACATATACATTAATCAACAATGAATATTGTTTCCGAAGCACCCAGTTACCTTATCTGACAAAATCGACACATTAAATCGTATCAATGGTACATAAACACACGCAAAAGGAAGAAGCGTAAATAACAAATCCTTCAATCCAAAGATAACACTGTTTTCATATCGTAGTTACGTGTTTTGTCTTAAAAATATAAAAATATTCGATTTTTTAAGGTGCTTTCCGAGAAAATCTTTATTCGATGAATTTAGCATAATATTAGTACATGATGGTTTTAAAAGATGTAATTTGTGCAATGGTAAGATATTTGGCACCTTTGGTGTAGTAAGACTACATCTGCAAAATTACAACTCATCTTTAAAGATTGTACGAACGAAACTAGTCGATAATTTTTTATGTTTAAATCAATCAGCCTATTGCAGTTCACTGCTGGACATAAGCCTCCCCAAGTGTACGCCATAGTGCCCGATCACCCGTTTTCCGCATCCAACCACTTCCCGCGACCTACGGATCGTCGGTCCATCTTGCAGGTGGACGTCCTACGTTACGTTTGCCGAGACGTGGTCTCCACTCGAGAACCCGTCTACTCTATCGGTCATCGGTTCTGCGACAGATGTGGCCAGCCCACTGCAGCTTGCTACATTTCTGGACGATGTCCACAACTTTAGTCTTATATAAGATAACTTCGTTCCGGACTTTGTCCTTTAGACCTTTCCATAGCTCGCTGAGCGACATGTAATCTGTGAGCCAGTTTGACCGTCATATTCCACGTCTCGGCTCCGTAAGTCATGACCATCATATGCTTAAATAGGAGTTATAAAATTGCATACGCTTCTATAATAAGATTTCGATTGATATTCAAAATTTGTCATTTACGAGGTTTAAAACTATTGTGAAACAAAAACTTTATACAAAAGGTTATTTATTATACAAGTTGTGAGTACTTGGATGACAAAAATCCGCGGTAGGGACCCGTTTAGCTCTTTCAGGTATTCTCGATCTAAGATGTTTAAATTAAATATTGCAATGATAAATGTACTCAAACGTATATTTACAAAGAGCAACCCCTGGAGTTTCTTGCTCATTATTCTCATGGGAATCTGCCTTACGAATGAGCAGTAGAGTTAAATCAGTATGACGATTTCAAGTATAATTTGCTTACCTGTGATATAATATTATTTGATTTTTACTTTGCATACATACATAAACCGTTTCATGTACCTACTTTGTATTATTTTTAAGACTGACAAAAGCACTTTTAACATATGATCACATATGGGTTTATGATATGTAGAGTACGATTGTATGTTATTCTTTAATTGTGTATATTCTTTAATTGCGTGTATTATTACTTAAAAAAACTACGCATATTAACCATCTATACAGCATTGTTGAGATCTATGAACAAACATTACCATTACATAATGTTTACAACCGAATTAATGAATGCATTCTGTTCTTTACAGTTCTGGCGTATCAGACTGATTTATCAGTTCTCATGCTGATGTCATGCCTGTACGGTTTTGGGAGGAGTATGATCATTGTGGCAAGAAACATTGCCATTTCTGAGAACTGTCGCCCTGAACAAGTCCCAGCCGCTGTAGGTTTAGGAATGTTGACCATGGGAATTATTGTTCCCCCAGCTGGGTATTTCCTCGGATGGATCAGAGATTATACAGACAGCTATATCATTTGTATCACAGCCCAGAACTTGCTGCTTATAGTACTCCTGGCTACGTGGATACCAGATATGATACTCCTGCATATAAAAGAAAAACGGGAGAATAAAAAAGATATACAATTGGAAATGTCGTAGTGTAATTAAAGCTAGATATAGAATGAGGAAACAAATGATACTCCAGTTTACGAGATTTTTTTGGCTTTTTTGAAGACAATACACTAAGAACAAACTAAGATCGCGTCAATGTTGAAAAATAAATGGCTGTGCTATAGAAAAAATATGTTAAACAAATTTAAATTTAAATATTGTAAGCATAAGCAGCAATTTACATTTGCATATGATAATCATGGTACACTATTTTGCTGAATATTTCGAATTATATAACAATTATAACCACTTATATACAATGAAATTGAATAAAGGCCGTTGTAGTGTGTGTGATATACCTCAGACTACTACACTGTTTCGAGTGGTTTTTATTTAAGTAAAATACGGATGTCAGTGCACATAATCTTATACATATTATGTAATATGTCTACTTAACATTGTACTTAAGTATACAGGACGCTAAAAATAATTGTTTTACCGACAAAGTTGAAACACTGTCCCGTCCAGAATTACAAAATTTGAAATATTGATATTTCACTTTCACCTTCCATTGCGTGCTAAATTTATACTCGCGTTGTAGTAGTTGTGAATTGATTATTGTAAAATTAAATATTTTAAACATTAATTTAAAATAACACAAGTAGCCCAGTAAAGAAATGTTACTGATACAATGTACTGATGCTGACTTTATCTCTAGTCTTAATACAAATTAATCAATTAAACGTGTTTTTGTTTTGATTTTTGTTTCCGTCGTCACTAATTTACTTAAGTAAAGTTTATTTCTTTTATATTTGTTCTGCGCTTGTGCTGAGCTCATTGACCTTATTCTTTCCGGCATTTATATTATTGACATTGACTTACAAATAAATGGACGACGGGTCTAATACAAAAACCACGAAAAAAATGTCCCAAGTCAACCTATTCGAAATTTAAATTGTAATGTCATCGCAGTATCGCGCTGTCTGTAGAACAAATGAAGACTAAAGCGGAGTGTCGCGCTCTGTATACGATTTTAGCGCCTTACAAGTGCGGACACTTTTTAGCGCGGACCCGACGTCCATATAATTGTAAGTCAATGATTATTGAGTCATATTTTTCACCAATCACAACTCTGGATTGATCACAACAATAAAAAAACAAAGTTTAAAGAGGTAAGGTGCTGGTGAAATTACATGCACATGGCAATTATCAACTTTTGTCTCAAGGTGACGGGCGCAGTGATAGTGCTTCTTAGGTCTTTGCGATTTATAGACGCACGACTTGTTCGTCCCGTCACTTCGTATCATGAAGGAGTTATTAATTGCGAAAAAAATTCAGTTAAGATGGCGGCAGAGCACACAACGAACGCTTCTCCAGCACTGACTCACATACAGATGCGGCATTTGTTTTCTGCACAATGGACAGATCTACAATGTCATTTTATTGTTGCAAAACCTTTTAGATAAGCTTTGATTGATTTCCTTCTTCATTAGTGACCGACTTTAAAAAAAGGAGGAGGTCTCGATTTAAGGTTATGTTATTTATTATATTATTTACAATTTTAATTTTTTTTATAAGTAGCAATTAATTTCATGGTTGATTTGGCTATTCTCTAATTCAAGCCGTTTTTCTCTCAATATATTTTGAGTAGTGAGAACCGATTTTTATTATCTCCTGTGTCAAGTTCCGTATAGTGGCGAACTAGGGGATGAATCTGGGTTTGCGCACTTTGCGGTAACCAATTTCAAAAAACTTGGCAAATAGATTTAATTCGACGTACTTTTGAGGTCGGTTTTTATAGTACTCTGTACTGAGATTATGAATAACGCACTAAGAAAAACGTATACAATAAAAAAACTAAATAAAATTAAAGAAAAATGAAAATTTCATTAAAGCCCGGTGATTTATTTTGAAGTGTTTTATTCAAAATCTTCTTTGCAAGACGCATTTAGCTCTTCAATTATAAATATCAAAAGACTTATGTAACTTTGTTTTAAAGTTAAAGACTCCATTTCCAGCGCACTACGTAAAGTCAACCAATTTTCCGCTTTCCATTAAACAAACCAAAAATTTTAAGAGCAGCGTCCTCTCTTGTAATATGAATATATTTGTATTTAATTTAGCCGGCGCTAAATAAATTCATTTTCACTGTGCAGCGAGGAGCGCGACGTAAATCTGGAGGGTCCTTTTCGTATATTTCCGAGCAAGACTAACGGATTATGCTTCGCGTCCACAATTTTGTATATTTGGCGCTTTGTCGCTTAAAAATTATTGTCTCTTGAAACAATATTTTCTTTTTTTTTTAAAGTGATCAAGCGCTCTCATACATAACAAAAGTCGTAATAATCACTTGGTAAGCGAGGTTTTTTAGGTAGAAATTAATTGTCCCATATACATTAACAAAAGATATTAATATAATGCTATATTGCCGATTTTACGAATAAGTATTGGGTGCTAACTATGAGAGAGTATAGTAAAGGCTGTACACATATATTATGATGTAGTGGAATTACATCTATTTGCCAAGTTTTATTGAAATCGGATTCATAAATGCCGGAGTGATCGCGTAACATAACTCACAAAAAATATACAGTCGAATTGAAAAACTCCTCCTTTTTAGAAGTCGGTTAAAAATAGAATAATATAAATTATTAACATGATGAAGAAATAACAAAAACACGTCATAAAGACGGTAACGTCAATAAGGTCAAAAATATCATAAATAGAACACAAAAAGACTTGTAACGACTATATAGGGCGCACTATAAGTTTCTGGAACTGCCCACTTACATAAACAATAATTAAAAAGTAATAACAACATTTAAAATGGAACTCTTTGGCTGTAGAATACAGTTTGTTTCATCTGACTGCCACTTGTTTTGTGGCGTTATTTTAGAAACTGGTTGTCTACATCACCATGGATTTAACCCGTGAAAATTTTAGTAGTAAGATTTTCTACGACTATAAGTGTAATATAACAGCTCAGCGCAGCTTTGCACGACTTCAAACTGCTTTTGAAGATGAAGCACCATGCAAGACGACTATATACAGCTCATTTGCATGATTCAAACGCGGTTGTGTGAATCTCAGTGACGAATTTCGTGATGGTCGCCCGTCCACTGCTGTGAACAACAAAAACATCGATGCCATGAGACGTATGATCAAAACAGACAGGCCTGTGATATACCATGGGATTCGGGCATCTTTAGGCATAGGCATGAGTCAAATACAATCAACACTACACAAACATTTGGGTGTGAAAAAGCTGTGCTCTCGGTGGATCCCACACAACTTGACTGAGGCTCAAAAAATGGATCGCGTCACTTGGTGCAATGCCGTGCTTACCAGATTCAACGAAGGGGCGTCAAATTCGGTGTGGAACAAAGTATTAGGTGACAAAACATGGATTTATAGTTACGATCCCAAAACAAAGCAGCAATGATGAGCTGAAACCAACCAAAATGGCGCGCGTGCAAAGTGCCTCTAAGCGGATGATTGCTTTTTTTTTAATAAAACTGGACACATGGCTACTGTTGCTTTGGAAAATCATTGTACCGTGAATAGTGATTGATACACGACCATTTGTTTCCGGAAGTTATTGACAAACTCCGTAAAAATAATCGAAAACGCCGTATTATCTTGCACCACGATAATACCAGTTCTCACACGGTCAGAGAGACAAATGAATTTTTGAAGGTGAACAACGTTAACCTTATGAGCCATCCCGCGTACAGTCTGGACCTGCTTTCATTTTATGAGTAAACTTTAATACAAACTATCAAAAACAAAGAAAAATTTTAGGTGCCATTTTCACAGAACTATGATAATGTCAGTTGACACCTTATTACTTATCAGCATCCCTGCCAATAGGCAAGTTATGTTACAAAAGTAATCCAAACACAATGTAAGTATTCAAGCCAAAAACAGAGCATCGCGTAGCGTGGGCTGGCTAGAAAATAACCGTCGGCTGGTAAACAGTGGGTATATTGTTTCTTCGTCTACAATGCTAGTTCTGTTGGCCTAGACATAGGAAAATGCTAGACTTTCTATTTGTAATATGATTTGAATGAAATATTCTTTTATTAAAATAAAAATCATAGTATTAAACCATAATGGTATACAATAAATAAAATATTAAAATGTTTTAGCTATTCTGTGCCTTGTCGTTAAACGTGGTGGTCCATTAACGATATTTTGATAACTTATCGATTTGCTACCAAGTGATTACAAGTTATACTCTTTCTGCATAGATGGTCGTTTTGCAATGTAGCCCTTACGCTGACCAGGTATTTTGACGATAATATAGTCATATGTAAACGATTACACAAGAAATGTGTAAATTAAAACTTAAGAAATAGGTAGTGTTACCTATCAGTAGTTTGAAATGACATTTTGCAGAAATAACGTTTGCTCGAATTTTTATAACCTCGAAAGTAATTTTGAGAGGACAATGTTTTTTTTCTTTTAAACCTAACTTAACCTAACTTAATCGAACCTAATCGTGTCTTTGCGATAAACATTTTTGTTTCTATATCTATGATAAACATCCAACATATCCTGAAAGAACAACGGTTTCGTTATAATTCGGTTTTCAGTGCAATGAAAATTCGAACAAACGTTATTCCGGAAAAAAAGATTCGAGTTTGTAATAGGTAACCCGTGACCATGGAATAGGTCCCATGGTAAAGGACCGGAAACGTTGGTTTGTTTGAATAACAAATGTACGCGATTTAGATCCGATAAATAGTTTAAGAAATACACTTAAAATCATAACGTGGTATGAAACCAGGAGCTAGTAAAAATCATTATAATAATCATTATTTTATACGACTATATTGTATTTTTTTTCTTCTAAGCCCACACAGCATAAGATTTTCACATAGGTAAACAATAATTCCTTTAGCTTTTGAAACTTTGTAGCAATATAAAGATTAAAATAAACCTGGTAATTTTGTAGTAAGTAATTAGGTTTCAAAAAAGTTTTATAATTGGAGAAACTCCTTACTATATATAACTTATTTACAGTGAAACAAATTTTTTTGATTTACCAATCTGACTTAATATCGCAATCTTATAAATTTTATTGTAATCGTACAGTCTACCGAAGTACTAGGTTGCCATGGAATCCCAATTTGCCAATAAATTGCAGTAGAGACTTGGAGATGCAACTGTATATGTGTGGAGAAATATAATAAAATATAAATATAAAATATTATTATATGATCAAAATATAGTTGAAAGGGTTCAACAATCGGTCTTATTGGTAGGGTAGACTTTAATTTACCGTCCACTTTAATAACATTTGATTAAAATTGTAATATTGATTGCAATGAATGTTATGATGCTTTTAGTACCATGTTCGATCGAAGATTGATCTTTATATTAATAATTGTAACAAACTAGTGGAGTCATTTTACAAAAATATATTACAATGAATAGTACTATAATATAACCTCTGGTAACTATAAAGGTAGGGTCCTTGAGTGAAGAAAAACTTTCATAGATTTCTCACAGGTGGTGCTACGGCCACCTGTAAAAAACCGTTAAAACCAAAAAAACCGTTAAAACCAAAAAAACCGTTAAAACCAAAAACACAGATTGGTAACAAACGCTTAGAAAAATTCGTCGATCTGTAACTTAGTTGGTAGAACGGTTGCCCTAGATTGGCAAAACAGACACAGGTTTGACTCCTGTCAGATCGAAATAATTTTGCTTTGTGTTCGAACTTCGTATTAATAATTATTAGATTTAAACATTTAAACATCTGACAGAACTCATTACAGTGACCAATGCTCTCAGAACATTCTGAAAGCATTGACATGAACTATACAAATTCCTCCATCGTATCGTCGCGTCGTATCTTAACCATAATTGAAACATAACAGTTAGTAAAATAAAATCCACTTTTCTGTCTAGATTTTCGTAAGCCACCCGAATAGAGGATAATGTTCAGACGGCGGACGTAAA